ATGATAAAAATTAAAAGGAGGTTACCTACACGATGGTTAGTCGCGTTTTGAACCTTACACTGAACCCACGTAAGATCACTGCCGGTGTCTATATGAAGAAAGTAGGTTTTATTGGTCTTGCCGAGGCTTAATGCTACGGTAAATAACCTATGTGCGGAAAAACAACGATGTATAAGGAAATTAATTACGAAGCGAAATGCAACTTGAGTATGTAACAAGTACTATTGTAAGAATCGAATTTGATGCTAAAATGAGCGCGCGTGTGAGTAACAAGTGGTTAACCGTTGAGGATAAACGCTTCCTGTGACCGGGTAAATTACGGATGTTGATGGATAGGCCGAAGCAATCCATGTCGAAAGGCACCACACTAATGCTTTCAAGTACATTATCCTTTGATGCATGTTAATTGACGGGTAGTGATGAATTATTGCTGGTTTTTTTTTTTTTTCTTTTCTTGTGGCCTTTTTTATAACTATACAAATTAAAAAGGGTGGCACAAGACTATCAAAGTCTAACCTGAAACGACGTTTAAAATGAAACGGAGAGTGGATCAAAAGTTAGAGTGAAATGTGGCGTGGAATGCGATGTTCAATCGTACATTCAACTCTAAAATAGTGCAAATTTGAAATTTCACTCTGTTTTAGACAGTAAAATGAATGATTCTACTGGGAAAAAACACAAAATGTGGTTTGGTAAGAGGAAAGTTGAAGAAAAATGTGTATTAAAGATAATAATATTGGACTCTGAATATATTTGGGCATGATTAGTAATATATTTTTTTCTTTTCGCGCATGATTTGATTTGAAAAAATTGCAGTTTCGGATATTTAATTTGGTGTTGTGGATAAGGGCATAAACGACTTGAGAGAGTCGCTCGAGCTCGAGCCCTTAATAAACCGAGCTCGGCTTATTAACTTAAGGAGCTTATAATCGAACTCGAACTCGACTCGTTTATCAATATTAAAGAGACGAGCTCGAGGCTCAATTCAAACCAAAATCGAGGTTTAACGATCCACGTGAATAATAGAAAATTATATAAAAGATCATCTTTTCGAGTCTTAACAAGTCTTATCGAGCCGAATTGTTAACCAAACAAGCTTTAAATGATCTCGAGTTTGGCTCGTTTGACAAACGAGTCGAGCCAAGCTCACAAGCGACTCGTTTCAGTTAACAATTCTAGTTGTGTATAATCGGTTCGGTTAGATTCAAATCCAGAACCAATTTCGTTTTCCTTTATATCTTGAGGTCAATTATTTTATTTTGTTATATATATTTTAAGACTTGATCCTTTTCACTTCACTTCATTTATCAAGAGCGTCATGATATTATGTGTAGAGCTAAGATTTAGAATGAAATTTCGTAAATGATTTTTGTTTTTGAAGTCTCGCCAATTTTAAAAAGCATCCCAACAAATCCCAGTAATCAAATAGCTCATGACTTTTAAACGTCTAAGTGAAATACACAGAATTTCTAACATCTTAAAAAAGTGTGTAAAAATTCCAAATTGAATGCATCCACCTAAAATTACAATCACTTATTCCAAAATAACTCGTATACTAGCACAATACTCGTGTATTACATGGGTATTGAGTTAAAAAATATTTACATCAAAATGTTTAAAAATAAATATAAAAAGTTAATTTTAATTTTTTTAACGTTTAAAATTGCACCCGTGAACATAAAATTTTTTAATCGCATTATTTTTTCAAAGTTTAAGAAATTAGTTTTAGACCATTATGTTGAATTTTACTTTGCATAATAGTAATTATGACAATGAACCACCTAGGTTGATATTTAAAATATTGATTCCAAGTGACAACTTTAAATTCATTGATTACTTACATGAAAGTTGTTATAAAATATAAATAATGCATAGTAATTATATAAAAATAAGAGATCATGTCTGTATCAGGAATATTCGATATCAGCGTACGACTGATTCGGTAACCCTCTAAATACCATTTTTGTCAAAATACATGCTATACCATTTTCTTAATCAAAGTTGGTTTTATATATTATTTATATGATAATAATAAATTAAATTGTTTTTATTAATACCTAGATAGTAAAACCAGTTGAATTACGTACCGATGACACGTTTGGCAGAATTTGCCGGTACTATATTTAAAGCTCTAGGCAAAAGAAATTAATTTACATATAACCGACTAAAAGAGAGATGTCAAGGTATAGTCGCATCTAACGAACCCAAATTTCCTATTCAACTTTGTGAAATGAAGAATCATCTATATTTTATGTAAACATTTATATTTCAATACAAATCTCACATTCTTGCACGATCAATGCATAGTTTTTAAACCGGGCCCGGTGATCAACCCGGACAGGTCCTCGGGTCACCGGGTCACCGGTTTAACCGTCGGGTCACCGGGTCAATTGCTGAACCAGATAATTAATTTTAAAATTTTTAAAATTATATATAGAGTATTTTTGTTATATAAATATACATAAAAATAACAAAATTAAATGTTTTGTGTATAAAATTTGTATATTAAAGTGTTAATAATATGTATCTCATGATAAATATTTACCATATAAACATATATACATATTTTTATTTAAAAAAAAAAACAAAAAAAATAAAAAAAAATATAAAATATATATATGGACCGGGTCAACGGGTTGACCCGGCCGGGTCAACCGGGTCAATGCCCCGGGTCAGCCGGGTCTCTGTTGGGTCGGCCGGGTTTTGGCCGGGTCTGACCGGGTCCTTGGTTGCCGGTCTAAAAACTCCACCCGGACCGGTTCCGGTTCCGGGTCGATCGGATCCCGAGTTGATCTGTCGGGCCGGTCCGAGTTTCAAAACACTGAATAATGAATTTTATTTTTTTTACGTAATTATTAATGCCTCGATGTTGGAATATATAGAAAAACTAAATCCTGTGATTTATCTCCATGCCCATGCATGCATCCACAAAATGTGTGCATTTATAAATTTATTAATCATTCCTCGGGCCACCAAATACAAAACTCAAAATGTAAGAATATATAATTAGTTAAACTTAATTGAATTAATAATCAAACTTAATTAAAGTAAATATATATTTAATGAATTATTAATGTTCTAATATTAAATAGTCCAATTGATGATTTTTGACTTGGACAATAAATTAGGTTAGAGCATTGTGAATGTTAGTAGGATTAGAATTGTAAGTCTACACTTGTAAATGCGATTAGAATTGTAAGTCTACACTTGTAAATGCTACTACATGCCCCTCTCTATTGGGGCATCCGATAATAGATTTCTCAACATCAAGGGATTTAGAGATAGATCGTCGTAGATATTTTCTAAAAGCTGGAGTCTTATAAATTCTATTTGCGATTTAATTTATGCAAAGATCCATATTATATGAATTGATAGAATTACATGTTTAGGCTTAGTTCAATTCCACCTAATAGTTATGAATATACCCGTTAAATTTCTTACACAAAAATCCACCAGGAAAAAGTCGGGACAATGGACAAAAAAAGCCAGAAACAAACTAAACAAGACCCGAATAAGCCCAAAGGCCCGAACTCACCCAAGGGCCCGTCCAAAATAGCACAGTAGAGGATTTCAGTACTGTACAAACATGCATCTTGAATATGAAGTATATGCATAGAATTCAGTTATGTGCCTGATGATTCAATATTTTCTGTCACATCTGAAAGCAGAGTTTGTATAAATATTAAATAAGCTTACCAAACAAGGTAAAATAACATATATTTCCACACAAATTGGTGATAATAACAACAATAATGATTTGGCCATATTTGGCCACGATACATAACAATTCGTGAAATTCTTGAATTATAATGTAACTCCTCATTAGTAACACCGATTTTTCACAAACCTTATTACCAACCAATCAAAGCACGAATAGCACCGAGAATATTTCCACTCAAGATGGCTTTCAGAAGATTTAGCTTCCGAGAAGTATAAGGTGGGTATCTTGCAGCTATATCCCCATTAAACCCGCGTGCTAATACTGCCTTTTTGTGGCTAAAAGCATCAAAAGAGAATTTTCCGTGGTAAGCCCCCATTCCACTTTCCCCCACGCCCCCAAACGGCAAGGAGGGCTCCGCAAGCTTAAGATTTTCGAGAGTCGAAGATTAGCAGAGAGTGTGTGTAAATACAAGTTAAAAGTTGAATTTGGTGTTTTTGTGCAAATGAGCTTGTAAAAGTTGATTGATTTATCTTAAGGCAAAATTGCCCGGAATATCACGACATTTTTCAAAAACTGCAATTTCATCACAGTTTTTTCACTTTTGCAAATTATATCACAATCTTCAGTTTGTTGCAAATCGGTGCACGGATTTGCAGGACCCATGCAAACTATATCACAATCTTTCTTCAGTTTGTTCTTTTGCCACTTCAGCTTTTCTAGGTCTGGTTTTACAGATTTGCAACAAAGTGAAGATCGTGATATATATATAATTTGCAAAAGTGAAGGTCATGATGAAATTGCAATTTCGAAAAGAAGTCGTGATATATTAGGGGCACTTTCGCTTTTATCTAAAAGTGTTATGCGCGGTAAACAAACATAATATGCAGATCCATCTGTTTTTATTTCTTAAAACAACTCATTTGTAAGTTTATATTTCCACAACAAAAGAAAAACTTACATGCAGAGCTGTCTCGTTAATGCACATTCCACCGGCTGATACGTTGTATATGAATTCCTCTCTGAGTCTTTCGTCATTTGTAAACAAATAAGCGGCGAGAGGTTTCTCTCTAGAATTAATCAGCCCAATAGCTTCCTCGATTTTGGGGACCTTCATAATTGGGAAAGCAATATTTCACTTTTCAGTATAAGGTACATGATTTAAGCTCTGTATTCATTTCCTTTAAATAGTATCCACATAAGGTTTGGCTCAATTTAAATTGTAAGAGAGGCATATTTATATTTTATATTAGGCTTTACCGTGATAACCGGAAGCAAAGGACCAAAAATCTCCTCATCCATGATGAGAGAATCTTGTGGGACATCGAGTAAAACAGTGGGAGCAATCTTTCTGTTCAAAATGAAATAAAATAAAATAAAAGTGAAATAGTAACATGAGTTTCTCATTCACATCCACAAGAAAGACAGAGAGAGAGAAGTTTTGCGAACTCACAATTTATTTTTATCTCGGTGACCTCCAACAACTACCTTACCAGAAACCTTCTCATCATCCAATAACTTTGCTAAGCGGTCAAAATGGCGTGAATTTATAATGCTCGACAAGTCGTTTGATTGGAGAGGATCCTTCCCGTAGAATTTCTCCAGTTCGGTTGAAATAGCGTTCACCTACAATTTAATCGATTATAAAAAGTTTCAAACACTTGATGATGGTATATATCTATAATATAGTCCTGCAAAAAAAATGCAATTTCTTACCAATGATGAGGCAAATTGTTTTGTAGTCACTACATAATCAGGCGAAACGCATGTTTGTCCACTGTTGCAACCCCACTTTCCCGCAATTATTCTTTTTGCAGCAACCTTTTCGAAAAAGCACAACTTCAAATGATGATGCTAATAAATTTGATTCAATAATTAACAAGTATTACACGAATTTACGATACAGATTAAAAAGAAAAAAGAAACAACTATGTCTCGAAATCACAGAAAACCTCATCTGTTGTCTGTATTTTTCGGCCTTTTATCAAAAAGTGAAAATTGTAATTAGATTAGCAAATATCAACGGGCTTTTTTGCAACTAATTAGTTATGCTAAATACAGAGACTTACTTTAAGGTTGATGTTTGAATCAACCACCACCGGACATTTCCCGCCAAGCTCCAAAACAACGGGCGTTAGATATTTTGCAGCTGCAGTTAGTATAACACGTCCTACTCTGCCATTTCCTGTGAATTTTTTGCAATAAAATTAAAAAATCTGTCATTTACTATTTTAAGAAAAAAAAAATGGGCATTTTATCTCCAAAAGAACATTGGAGTTCTAGCAAACATTTAAAATAAAAGAACCAAAGTGAGTTAATTCAACTCTCGGGTGCAGAAATATCTCCAGCTCTGTTTTCTCGTACATTAGAATAGTTTAGGCAACATTTTGGGGCTAAAAGTGACATTCTATTTAAGCAGAAAATACTAAAATGGATGCCAAAGCTTTATGAAGTTTGTTAATAAGAAAATTCTCCAAAATTATTGAACATACTCCAGCATATACTTACCTTTCACCATTCATATATATCTGTGTGCACCTCATTTTCTTATATTTATATTTCTATTAGTAATGTATGAAATAATCAAAGAATAACTTGTAAAAATATTAAAAATTCTATAGAGAAGAAAATCTTGGACATTGCAATCTTCTTTTCTTCCTGATAAAAACAGGACAATTTTTTTTTTTTTT